ATCAGATCGTGATGAGATCACGATAATGAAATCGATTCACCTTTAAACACAGATCCTAAATAATCCCGGTCATAGGTTACTCGAGAGGGACATCGTGATAACCGGACAGACTAGTGTGCTGTATACCCGTCCATATGATGGATGCAGCTGGTCTCATAGTTGCTCATGTAAGGACACTAGGGATACAGTACAGGTGCTCATTGGAGAATGAGTTCACTGATTGATCCGCTTACTAAATACTAGATGGTTGATGATGCCTTATTGTCATACAGTAGTTCCGTAGTCCTAGTGGTGTATCTGGTCCTTAGACTTGAGACACCAAGGATGTCCTGTATGGGTGCTCCACTCTTTGATACCAGACTTATAGGTTTGGCTGTCCCAGATCTAGTACAGTTGGTCATTGGGAGTGGTAGTCGACCTTATGAGGGCTATTGAGTGTCGATATAGGGTCATCCACTCTCGGCGTCATGAGAGGAATATCCCATGTGTTCTTGCTCAGATAAATCCCTGGCCAGGGTCATTCGGGTTTAGAAAGAAAGAGTTCTCTGGAAGAATCCGATTAGAGCGAGACTCGAGTAGAAACTATATGGGTCTGACAGCACCATGCTCGATATACGGTCTCTGGGATATTAGATAGATGAGGAACTATAGGTACGGTAACTGAGGACAAACAAGTCCAATGGATTGGATTCCCTTGTATCGTCCTAGGACTTTGGCGTAGTGGCCTAGTACGTCCGTAGTCGATGAATCGAGTGAATTATTACAAAGATAATAATTCATTGAGTTAGAAGGAGTTCTGACAGGTTTGACTCACGGCCAGCTCGATATTGGGCCTAGAGGGTCACACACATATGGTAGGCATTGTGATGAGTAGGGGTTCGGATATGAGATATCCGACGGAGCCCTTGTCTTATTGGATATCCAATAAGCCCTTGAATTATTAGATCCTATGGACGAAATCTAATAAGAGCCCATGAGAGATTATTGGATAGAGATCTACTAATCTAAAATGCTTGGGTTATTGGATGTAGATCCAATACCCACTAGGCGAGGATCCATTAGGGTTTGATAGGGGACCTCTATAAATAGGAGGGATTCAGAGCCTCATAGGCTAGAGCCTTTGCTTGCCTCTCATATTCTCCTCCCCCTCTCCACCTCAGAGCAAGCCTGGAGTTTTGAGGAGCGTCGTCGGAGCCCTACTGTGTGGATCACCGCTAGAGAGGAGGATGCTTAACCTCCTTCACCCTCTCCTAAAGATCTGCAAGGAAATAGGGATATACGATCTCCCTAGGTAACACAATATACTCTATACGCAGTTTTAAGTTTCACGGATTTTGCGCACCAATCTTCGCACGATGACGAACATCTCTTTGGGAATCGAGGATTTTGTTTTCTTGTTCTTTCACTGCGCATGTGATGTCGCCCCTAAGATTTCCCAACACGAACGTCGTATTTCGATTTACAATTACATTATGTTCTCTATCTTAACTGCAAACTGTCTCTATATCTTTACTTTAACTGCATCTAGCTTGATCACAAGTTAAAGTGGTTTCCGAGTCGTTTTTCTTTCCGAAATCATCTTTATCGTATGAACATCGTTTTAAATCGTCGAAAGTTTTCCACTGCACTAATTCACACCCCCCCCCCCCCCCCCTCTTAGTGCTCTTGATCCTAACAAAGAGAAGACATTCGAAAACCGTTCTCGATAATATTCCATAAATTTAAATCCAACGAAAGCAAGAAAACTCTTATTCGAGTTTTCCAATAAGTGTAGTCCGTCCCATTGAAAAAGGGAGGATGAATGAGAGATTGTCCCTCTTGAAAGCCGAAATGAGTCATTTCTATTTGGGTGTTAAACTAAATTAGAAAACCATGGCTCTGATACCAATTGTTAGGATCAAGAGCACTAAGAGGGGGGGGGGGGGTGAATTAGTGCAGCGGATAAAAACGTCAACTTTGTTAAATCTCTCATACGATAAAAACCGTTTCCGACGTAAAATCGATTTCAGAAATTTAACTTGAAAGCATATGTAAATGTATTGAAGGCAGTAAGCTATTGAAGGGGTTTGCAGTAAGGTAATAGCAGGAAATAAAATGCAAACCAGAGAAGACGGGAGTTTATAATGGTTCGGTCAATCGTGACCTACATCCACTCCACTGATTTCTCTTCCGTCGAGGCCACCAGCATCCACTAACGATCTTCCTTTACTAGGCGAAGATCAACCTCCTTCTTACACCCCTCTTCTCCTTTTACCGGGTTTAAGAGACAACCCTCACAAGCACTCACTCTCCTCTCTAAACAGAATTCTAACACTAAGAATTTAGAGGAGGGAAATTCTAGAGATTGCAACAGTGTTTTCTCTCTTTTAATCTATGTGCTTGTGTATATTAACCAGGGATGAGAGGGGTATTTATAGGCTTTAAGTTGATTCAAACTTGGAGCCTAAAAACATCTCATCCCGGGTTCCCCGGGCACGGGTGGTACCATCGCCTACGCTGGGCGGTACCACCGCCTAGTGTCAGTTTGACTAACATTGTCCTGGGTGGTACCACCGCCCGGGGCAAAGTGCTGGGTGATACCACCGCCTAGCACCCTGCCAGGAGCGGTACAACCGCCTAGACTAGCGGTATCACCGCCTGACATAGCCTCGAAGATTATGCCACGACGATGAGTCTTCTTGGGGCATTGTTTGGGCTTCTTATTGGGCCCAACACAGTGATTACATAGGCCTAGCTGGACCCTAATTGGGTTGGCCCAAATCCAATCTCAATTACGTGCTAGCTATGATTCCTAAGACGTATTCTAAGCTAAACGAATCCCTATGTCAATTCTTCCGGTGAGCTTCCGGCGAACCTCCAACGAACTCTCGGCAATGTTCCGACGGACTCTCGGCAAGCTCCTGGACTTCACGACGATCTTTTTGGCGAGTTCCGACGAGCTTCTCTAGCAAGCTCCACGACTTCTCGGCTGGTTTCCGTAGAACTTCCGACGAATGTCCGGACTTCCGACGAACTCTCGAACTCCCAACATGATCTCGATCTTGACTTCGGGACTTTATTTTGCTTCATCTCTTGCTATCGTAGTTAATCCTGCACATGTAAAACACACTTCGGTCTAGACAATTAATCCTAAGCATCTAATCAAGTTGTCCGACATGTCATTGGTCCCTCGACGCTTCGTCCGATTCTTCGATGCATCGTCCTCTCTTGTGGCCTATTGCCCAATCGGCCAGTTGACTCCGCAACTCCGATATCCTTAGCGCAATCTCCGCTCTTCTTAGCCCGATGCCCGAATCCACGGCCCGAAGCCTTCTGTCGATACGTCGATCGATCCACCAGTCCGACGTCTAATCTTCTGACATGTTCCTTCGGCCCAACATGATTTTTCTTGCTTTAATTGTCTCATCCTGATCGAAGCATCCTGCATCACTCAAAACAATATAAACACATATTGATTGGTTTCATCATCAAAATCCGAGATTCAACATAAATTATAAATATTAAAATCTTACATGACAACTTATAGTAAGCTCATCAACAAATCCTTTTATTGATATATAATACAAGAAATAACTGAAATCACATGCATGTATAATAAGTCATATAAGCCTTTTAAAAGAATCTCAACATTTATTGTAACAATACAACTTTAGTATGTTCAATGAGACTTATCAATTACAAGTCATATAATGAAATCCACTTGCTGTACTAAAAAAACATCAACTATCGATATATTTAAAATAATATGTTTATTTTATGGTAAATTGCCCAATAAACATTATACTCCCTCTTGTTATATGCCTTTATTTACAACGGCGATTCAATTTGATGACAACAAGGTCGGTATGGGAATACATGGAAGGTCAACGCTTTAGTTATTATTTGTCCCACTTAATCCAGATGGACGAAGAAAGGAACAAATAAATAAATAAACCAATAAATAAAATTAATATGCCAGAAGAACCAGAGCCGAAGGCTCGTAATCCGACCCATCTCCCATCTCTCTACCGACCTACTATAAACCCCCCTTTCATCTCTCACACTGTCTCCCTCTCTTTTGCTTGCTCCAAAACCGAGGAGAAAGAGAGAGAGAGGGAGGGGACGAGAGAGGGAGCTCTGATTTATGTCTACGAGCACTGCTGCCTCATTCCATCGTCAAGCTCGAGCTCTCTGGACTCGCCCCTTCCTTACCTCTGCTCTTGAATTCATGACTCCGAACAGCGATTCGATGCGCTTGAATTCGTCTGGGTACGTTTGCGATGTTTGCTGGCTTGCTCGCTTACTTGCTTGCTTTGTTGATTGATTTATTTGTGTTGCAGAGCTCGTTTTCTAGTGGAGTCCTTTGGGTTTCTCCTCCTGGATCGGTATTTCTTCATCTTCTTGCTTCGGATTAGAGGAGGAACCCTACCTTGACCAACCCTGTTATCTCTCCTGCTATTTTTTCTTGTGTTTTGCCCTTTTCTTTTGTGTTGTTTCCGAATTTTGGGGGAGTTCCAGAGGGAGATTAAGATGATGGAGCCGCGGATTCAACAGCTCTGGAGCCGATACAGGATGCGAAGGAAGAGGAAGATGAAGAAGTTAGACAGCTTGTGTTCGATCAGAGATCTGAAACCACCGATGATGAGGAGGAAGATGAGTAGTGGGAAGTTGGAGAGGTCGAGCGCCGCCAGATCGACTCCCGTCCAAAGAATCAGGGTCTTCTTCACCGATCCCGATGCCACCGACAGCGACGACGGCGACGAGGCTGTGATGAAGCAGTGTAAGCGAGTGGTCCGGGAGATCCACGTGGACCGGATCGCTAAAACCCTAAAAACCCCAGCTGATCCGGAGAACGAGAGGAGGCAGAAGAAGAAGGAAGCGGCGAGAGTGGCGGTGCCGTCGCCCGCAATCACCGGCAGGCACAAGGGCGTCCGGCAGCGGCGGTGGGGCAAGTGGGCGGCGGAGATCCGGGACCCCATCCGACGCGCCCGCCTCTGGCTCGGTACCTTCGCCACCGCCGAGGAGGCGGCTGCCGCATACCGGGCTGCCGCGTCACGGCTGGAGGAGGAGAAGCGCCGTCTCCAGCACTCTGGGCCGGCGGAGGGCTCGGCCTATTCCTTCGTCTCCGTCCCGTCCCCGTCCTCAGTCCTCACACCGCCAGCGGCGACGGCGGAGGAGAAGGCTGAAAGAACCATCGCGGAGCTCTTCGGGGAGCGGCGGGTAGAGGTACCGGCCGAGATGGACTTCGATGCGCTTGACGGAGAGGCGCCGTTCTTGCTGGGCGAGCTGGGGGATGACTTGATCGGATTCGACGATGGATTTGACGATCTCCCACTCTGGGGGCAGACATTGGACGGTGGAGATTTCTCCTTCCTCGATCTCTAGCTTCATTTTTGCAGCGTAAATGGTCACAGGAAAAAATAATTATATATATATTATACTTTTATGGTTAGCTTTATAGTGTGTCAGAGGTGGAGGTTGTGGTTCATTCAGCCCTATTTTTGCAGCTTAAGAAGGGCAGAGAAAAATATTCGCTGGGAGACAGTAGAATATGATAGGATTTTGGAAATTGTAATAATCAAAATATATATTGTGAGATATATCTATATATAGTATTTGACGTGGAGTTTGTAGAGATGCAATATGTTATGTTTCAATAGGATTTGGGAGGAAGTGTGTGCGGAAGAGGAAAAAGGACAAAAGGTATGTTATAATGTGGTACTCCTCCATACATCTTCACACTATATCTCTATAATAATGTTGAGCTGTAGTGCACTAGTGCAACTTTGGGAGCCGGAGCACCCAGGTGCCCTGAAAGTGTGTTAGTGTCTTTAGCTTTGGGTTAAGTTGCTTCCGGTGATGAATAAAATGAAAAGTATATTTGATTAAACTATTGCACATAGTGATAAAAACAATCCATTGATTTTGGTATCTTCTTGTGTTGCACTTATACACCTAAGTTTGTCAATTTTCACCAGGAATATGAACGCTCCAAGTCTGGGTGGTCCCTGTTTGTGACATCGGCAGTTGGATCAAGTCAACAAGGAGTGCCAAACATATCAGCATCTTCTCTTGCATATCTTGGAACTCTTTTGGATTCATCCTTTAGAATAAACCTTAGAATTGTGTGCTTCATTTTTCTTGCATCTTGATCTGAATGAGTTATTGAATTTTATTGGTACTAAGACCAAAGAAACAAGTATTAATTGGTTTATAACTTAATTGGTAAGATGTATTCAACATTTATATACATTCAAATCTTGGATATTGAAATTGATGGAAGGGAATATCTAAGATGTCTTTTAGATCTTTCTTTTGTCTATAAATAGATAGACTCTTCTCTTGTTTATAAATTATTTTGTAATAATTTTACTGACTCCATCAACAATGATGGCCTTATAGACATAGAAAAGAGAGGGGAAGAGAGTTAGTTTTTTTTATAGTGATCCAACATGACTAATATATCAATGGTATTTCGATTCGATATAAGTATGTCGAATAAAGGTACTTACATCTTTTTTTTCTAGATCTATGATATATTATATTTCAATTCTTCGCATGAATATTTTTCGAATTACATGTCTCACAATTGATATCAGGGCTATAGGTTAATAAAATATAATATCTTAGATCATAATAGAATTTTATATTTATTTGTATGATTAAATCTATTCATCATTTGAGTCACTATTTCAATCTCAAAGTATTGTTATTGTTCCGAATTAATCTATAGTGTATTATGTCAGATTTTGTGGGTGATGAGGATTCTCTTGCACACACGGGGTGAAATCCATGGGAGTCATTGTGTTTGGGCATATTGGAAAGTGTGTTACTCGATTTTGGTCAATGGGTTGTCATCGGCAATTTACTGTTGATGATGGCAATGGTTGATGCTATAAGCTCCGATGATGGTCTACTGTTTGGCGAACAACGATGTCAGTAGAGTGTGCATTGGCAAGAACGATACAGTTGTGGTAGCATTAATATTGGATAAATGTCACTAAACAACAGGTGTGTAAACAACGGACAATGGTGCATGAACGACGCTGACGTGATTATTGACTTGATGAGAAGAATCATGCACCGTGGATGTTGGTCATCGATGAGGGGTTGTGCACCTAATTTTGACCTAATTAGGTCAAAATTGATTTTGATCTAATGTTTGATCGAGCCCCCAAAATCTAATTTTTTGACCTTAGTCAACCCTAATTTTGATCGAATCTAAATTTTGACTAGATAGCTCTAATTTTGACCAATTTCATTTTCATTGTGTTTTGACATGGTCAAACCCTAATCTTTGGTCAAAATTGAGTCATGCCCAAATTCAATTCTAACATGACTTGTGATTTTGACCAAACATAGTCAAAATCGTTGGGACCAAATGGTAATTTTGAGGCAAATTTGGATTTTGATCACACATTGGATTTGGATCCTACTTTTACTTATTTGGGCTGGCTATCGAGCCCAATTTGGGTGATCCTGTTCTGGACTGCCCAATTTGTTATTGTTAAATTTGGGTTATCAAATTAAATAGAGTTGATTATCTTGGACATTTTATCAAAATTAAAGAAAAAATAAATTATATATTTTTTTGTTGTCCATGGGACATAATATATTATTGTCCAAATTTAATTGCTTATATATATATATATATATATATATATTATTATCTTTGGATATTTATGTGGCAATTAACACATGAGGATAAAAGAAAAATTATGAAATACTATTTATTTTCACATGAAAGCAAGATGTTTATCCTTGATTTATTGCTATTATGTGATTGTGCTTATTGAAGTTTATTTTTAATCATTATTTTATTATTTTATTGAATAAATTTTACATAATAATAGCATTAAGTGACTTAGGATGAAAGACTTCTGTGATATAAATTAGAATGAATAAATTATAGTTTATTTTATATTTTTATTGATCTTATGAGATATAAATTATAATAAATTATTTATCATTCATTTTATATTTTTATTGATCTTATAGTTGTCAAAATGACTTGGATTAATAAATTTATAAAATTATATTAAAAATTAATCATAAATGATATTAAAGAAATAATATTCATGATTATACTCATAATTAAGAGATTTAGATAATTATAACGAAGAGTTTTCTTCAATTAATTATGTGGTAGGGAAGAATCATGCCTTCTAGATAGCTATATCGATTAGAATTGTATACCCATAAGTAATATTTCTGGGACACATAGATCAATTTATAAGTTTAGTAGTTCTTCTTTCTTTATATACTCAAGCATCCAACATATTAATTCTTTCTAGATCAAATTATTCAAAGTGGTTTGAGCATAGATAATTAACGTTCCGTGTATTAAGTCTTGATTTGATATTACTTGTTGAAGACCTGTAAATATCTTTGATAGTAGTACTTTAGAATAAATAAGTGAAATTAATGCCTAAGAAAGATCTATAGGCTTAATTTGCTATTTATAAGAATGAGAATGATAAATAATATCAAGATTTCATAATCATCAACAAATAGTGCAATGGAATACTTAAAAGGCTATTGAAAAACATTCCAAGATTGTTAAAATGTTTTAAGGCACCATGAAGAAAGAGTTGACCACAGCATAATATGATGGTAGTAGAGAAATTAGAGATGAGTGTACGACGGTACTAAGTTCAACACCTTGGGTATGAATGTGATGAGTGTTTTTGTGCAATTCATTTTTAATTCACTTTCTTCATAATTTGAGTTATGTTGAATATCGGATTTTGATGATGAAGTCAATTGTCATTTGTTATCTAATCTATATGTTGAGATAAATGTGCAGGATTAACTACGATGAAAATACGATATGCAGCAGGAGTTACGCCGGAGTCAAGACAATGATCACGTTGGGAGTTCGAGAGTTCGACGGAAGTTCGGATAGTCGTCGGAGGTTCTGCGGGAATAAATCCGAGAAGTCCATGAGCTTGCCAAAGAAGCTCGTCGGAACTCGCCAAGTGGATCGTTGCAAGTCCAGGAGTTTGCCGGAAGTCCGCAGGAGCATCACCGAGGGTTCATCGGATGATCGACGGAAGTTCGCCGGAAGCTCGTCGGAAGAAGCGATTGACGCACCGGAGCAAGTTGCAGTAAATGCCTTAGGAAATATCGTAGTTAGCACAATGATTAAGTTAGAAATGGGAGGTGATCCCATTAACTTAATCTTGGGGCAATTGGGGCCTTGAAAAACCCAAATTGGGCCGAATGGATCAACCCATTCGGATCCTAATTTTTGCCAAGCGGTGGCACCGCTTGGGCTCAATCTCCAAGCGAGACTAGGCAGTGCAACCGCCCCTGACAGAAGGTGGCACCGCCTGAGCTCGGTCTTCGAGCTCTAGCAGGAGGTGCAACCGCCATAGTTAGGCGGTGGCACCGCCTGAGCTCGATCTTCGAGTTTTGGCAAGAGGTGCAACCGCCCCTGACAGAGGTGGCACCGCCTAGAGGCTCAGTCTTCGAGTTCTGCCAAGCGGTGCAACCACCTCAGTCAGGCGGTGCAACCGCCAAATCCCGGAATTCCGGGAATTGACAGTTTTGAGCTCGAAATTCAAACTGGGTTGGGGCCTATAAATACCCCACCCTTTTAGCACTGAAAGGGCACAAAAAACACACCGAAATCTTGATCTTATTATGTGATTTTTAGAGCTCAAAATTGTTGTAAAAGCCAAAAGTTCTTCTCCCTCTTTTCTTCCAAGTTCTGATCTTTAAAGAGAGGAGAGAAAATTCTGTAAGGGTTGTCTCCTAAGCCCGTCAAAAGGAGTGAAACTGTAAAAGGGTGGTTGGCCTTCGCCTATTGAAGGAAGGCCTCTAGTGGACGTCGATGACCTCGTCGGTGGAGGAAGCCAAAAGTGGATGTAGGTCAAGATTGACCAAACCACTCTAAATCTCGGTTTGCATTTAATTTGAGCATATTATCTTTACAGCAAACCTTCTCAAAAGCTTACTGCTTTCTGCGCATATACGATTGGGTTTCAAGCTTTGCACTTTCCGAATCGGCGTTTAGAAGTAAATCAGTTTTATCGTACGATCATCATATTTCAGTTTGCATTTACGTTTTGATTTCTATCATAACTGCAAGCTGCCTTTATATCCTTGCTTTAACTGCATCTCGCTTAATCAAGTGATTTACGAATCAACATTTAGACTAAATCAGTTTTTTCGTACGAATATCATATTTCAGTTTGCGCCTACTATCTTATTTGAACCATAACTGGAAACTTCATTTACATCTTTGCTGCATCTCGCTTAATCAAAAGTTAAAGTGATTTACGAATCGATTTTCTTACTGAAATCACTTTTATCGAACGAACGCAGTTTTTTTTCGTAGAAGGTTTTCCGCTGCACTAATTCACCCCCCCCCCCTCTTAGTGCTCTTGATCCTAACAATTGGTATCAAAGCGGGGTT